AATTTTTTTTTTTTTTTTTTTTTTTTTTTGTGTACAGGGCGGGACCAAACCTGCAACCTCCCCCGCCGAAGCCCCACCCCACTAAAAACCCGGTGTCACTAGACTGTACTATCTTGGGCTGCAATTTCTCAAATTTTTAAGGGTTAACACTGAACGTATAAATGCATGCAAATTTTGGATCCAAATCAGTATAAAAGTCCCAAAATCTCTGAGTCAGTCGCAACTAGCATGTAAAAATCCACTCTATCTTACGTTATGAAGACACGCACACACATACACAAGCCAAAATCACGTCATGCCCAGAGAACTTCTATCCTAAAACTAAGCATAAATTAAAACCTTGACTAAAAATTAACAAACCTATCAAACACCAATAAAAGCATACATTTTCTATTAGTGTCAATCACAATCTTTAATCTAACAATAAGGTTATTACGCCAGAAATAAAAAATTAAAAAAATTAAAAACAAAAACCTTGAACTCAAAAGCAGGACTCTTTTACAGATTTCAGAAGTAACGATCAAACAAAGTTAAATTAATACATTAATTAAAGAAATTAAATGGGAAATAATTACATTGGCTTTGAGTTGGTTGATGATCTTCAACCGTAGAGAATCGATGGTACCGTCGTTCATCAAGGACTCCAACACGTCTTCAGGAGTAATTAGTGAAGAAGACGCCATTAACTCCTAATCCAAATGAAGACCACCTTGAACTACCAAATTTAGAACCAAAAGCCTGCGAAAAGCTTCGATTTTTCTTCAGATTTCCAGATTTCTCGCAAGAAATTTTATCTTTTGACAAAGAAATCGACGAAAGAAAGCGATTTTCTTATGCCCAATGAAACTCGTCTTAAGACTATTTGTGCTCCGAGGAAAATATTTGCAGATAGCAGTGCTTAACTAGAGAGAGAGCTTTGAACACGACGAATGAAAAATTAATATAAAATAGGGAGAATTAGAGAGAGAAAATCTTCATACCTGAATTGAATTTTAAATTTTTTGTCAAAGTCTCTTCTGTGCAAGAAGAAAAAATTTTCGTCAACGCCACTTTATAAGTAATAAATACAATACAAGATTCAATTATCCAAGAGAACGTCGTTTTTTTTAACCCTGAACTTACTGATAAATTAAATTTTATATTCGTCTAATCCACGTAAAATTACATAAAAATTAAAAAAATACGTAAGTTTAAAAGTTAAAAAATCTATCCGTCTAATTACTTTTGTTAGGTTACCTTTTTATGTGTTTTCTTGTTTCTTTTTTATTGATTTTTTTCCTTGTTCTGAAAATATAGACTGACAAACAAATGACATTTTTTTATTTCTATCCATCATTATAAAAAAAAAGCAATTTTTAAAAATATTCCTTAAAATAAAGTTTTTTTTTTATTTTCATCCTTTATTATTAACTCATGTATTTTTATTTTTAAACTAAAATTAATCAAGAAATAAAAATTTTAATAAATCATGTATGTAAGAAAATAGAAGAAAATAGAATCTGTAATTTTCTCTTATAAATAAACATGCACGATCTTCCTTTTTTTTTTTTTTTTTTTTTTTTTTTAATGCTTGCGCTAGAAGCCCCAACGATGCTATAAAATCACACTCATCGTGCGCCCATCAGAATAGAGGATGCACATAGGATGCACATAAGAAGGATAAGGGTATAAAAATAAATTTATGAGATTAATAATTTGAATTGCAAATACTATTTTATTACAATACCCTTTTTATAGCCAAAAAACAATGGTAGCAGCAATATTTTGCAAATGCTTAGACCTCTTTTGGTCATTCCACAAAGAATTATGCTCTTGAAAACGTTATATATAGCACAGATGTGACAGTGCAAAGTAGCATTTGCTCGACAGGCAACACAAACTCTCTAAGTTGTCGTTGCCAGACAATTATCGCCATTGCAGCTAGTTGGCTCGGCATCTTAGAATGCCACATGCATGCTAAGATGAAGCTAATAAGTAACTCAGCTCAACAGCTTCCGGGTCTTGGTCAGAATCTATAGGGTGTTTGGTATGAGGATTCGTGACATGATTCGAATCATAGTTCGTGGCTCACTACAGTATTTTCTCTTATAAAAAACACACATAAATTGAGAATAATTCTAAATCATGATTTTAAATCCGTGAACCAAAAGTCAACGTTAGAGCTCGAATTTACTGGCCATTGTCATCCTTGTCCAAGAAAGCCGATAAGTAACTCATGATGAAGCCATCTAAATCTCCCTCAAGAACAGAATCAGGGTCTGACACCTCATAGTTAGTTCGAAGATCTTTCACCATTTGGTATGGCTGCATTCAGAAGAGTAGTTAGAGTTAGCAAGGGCTTTAGGTATTTCAATGGAAAACCAGGATTATTTGGTCCAACTTGGGCATGGTTTCAGAACATACATGTAGAACATAGCTGCGTATCTGGTTGCCCCAAGTGATATCAGTAAGAGACTGCGTATGTTGCGCATTCATCTGAGCCTGTCGTGCCATCTCGAGCTGGTCTAATCGAGACCGAAGCACAGCCATTGCTGAAGCTTTGTTTTGGTGTTGAGATCTGAGTAGGCGTTGGGAAACTCTCAGCTAAAAAGAATGCCAAACTGGGATAGGTAAAAAGATAGTGATACAAGCTAAGGATGTGTCTCGTACCTTTCATTTTGACAAGTCGCAGTAATTCCTGTAGGAATATGGACTATCCGCACAGCACTATCGGTTGTGTTAGCATGTTGACCACCAGCTCCCCCGGAGCGGAATCTCTCAATACGAAGATCGGATTCATTAATTTGTACAGGAGTAGATCCGTCACCCAGAATGGGGATTACAGCAACAGCAGCAAATGAAGTATGCCGGCGCTTATTACTGTCGAATGGTGAGATTCTTACCAGTCTGTGCACTCCTACTTCTGCTTTGGCATAGCCATAAGCATATTCACCATCCACTTTGATAGTTGCCCGCTGCAAAATCAGATTACTCAATATTCAAAAACTAGCAGTCACATCTATAATTGTGCAGATTAAAAAAAAAAAAAAAAAGAGAAGTTGAAAACCAGATTACATCTAAAGATTCAGCAGGCTTCACTGTAATATAAAAAACAGAGAAAAGGAAAGAAAGAATAGAGATCAGTAAATTTTCAACAGTTGACGAGGAGAGACATGGAAGGTGATTAGCAAGATTCTATGGCCTCGTTCATTTCACCGATTCGAGTTTTCAGTTCTAAGTTTCTACAGTTAAAAGCTCTCAAGGTCACATCTAACTTTTTCTACTACAGTTAAAAGCTCTCAGAAAATGTCACATCTCAACTCGAATTAAAAACTCGAATCCGCAAAGCGAACGAGGCCTATATGTGCACTGTTTGCAACTGCATTTGCGAAGTACTAAAGATGTTGAACTAGTCACTGGAGACAAGACAAAGAGGAGGATGATAAGATTGTGAACCTTGATTCCTGCAATTTCACCAGGCATTTCATCCACAACAGTAACCTTATAGCCACGATGTTGACCCCACATTTTATACATCACCATGACCATGGATGCCCAGTCCATGCTCTCAGTACCGCCAGCTCCTGCTTGAACCTACATTGGGTACAAATCATCAAGGTATGGGAGGTTCACATACCACCACAACTATGTACGCAGTCATTAAACTAGTAGCACCATCAATGCCAAACCAAAAACAAGGCGAATAATGTAGTGGGAAACGAAAATTTTATATAGACAATCAACTTTAGTGAGCAGAAGGGCTCTTAAGAATAAACATAATAAACTGAGAGGCCGAAATTATACCTCTATGTAACATGGGCAAGGATCATGTTCCCCAGCTAACATAGCTTCTAGCTCTTTCTCTTTTGAGATTCTTCTCATTTGAAGCAAAGCTTTCAGTGCTTCCTGAAAAAAGGGAGAAGACAACAAAATGATATTCTTAACAATAATAGGCCTGGAATTGGTACTTACACAGCAAAGGAAAAACTTGTAATTCCATGATAAGGATTCGAAGAAGTTGCTGACTTTTACAATGTTATAGTAAGAAGAAAGCTGGATATGGAAGCAATTTATTCTGTCCACAGCAATTTGGCAATACAACAATTCTCATAACCTTTTAGAAGTTTAGATACATGCATGTCATTAACCTTTTAACTCAGAGCAACAAAGCTACTCCGTGACTACGGATATTCACAATTACACGACACAAGAGCAAAATCTTACTTTCATTCTACGATGCTTCATAGAAAATTAATCAACAAGAAACAGGAAGTAAAACATCATGTTGCTGCAGATTTGTATAACTGAGACAACAAAAATCATAAAGAGAGCAAATACATGCCTAGAAAAAGATACGAGAGCCCACCGATTCCAACTCTGCATCATCTTCTTCACGAGCAAGCTTAATCATGTCTATATGCTCGAGCAATTCTCGCTCAAACGCCTTGACCCCTTTCATTTTACCCATAAGCGAGCCATGCTCACGGCTTACCCTCCCTGCATGCACAGGATCATTCCAAATATCCGGCTTATTCAGCTCTGCCGTTAGCAGATCCAGCCTTACCAGCAACTTCTTCCACTGCCACCATCAACATTAAGTTATACTTCTCATCAAGCAAAAATAGACCATAAACCAGACCAAAACTCATTTCGACATATATAAAATGCAACTTTATGCATCAGACTACTTTCTAACCAATCACATATTCACAAGCCAATTCTAAGACCAACAGATTAATACTCAGGAACCCACACAACTTGACATAGAAGTTCACCATCCATCAAATTTAGCTTTTTCATTGTAATGAGTCGAAATAACCAAGAGAATTTCATGGTAAGGCATTCCCTGCTAGTAAGATACATTTCTCAACAGTAAGTTTTGTCAATTTATCATACTTTTTTTAAGAAAAATGGGATTCAACCTGACGGGTTGAGTCCTAGGTGGGGCCGGCTCCATGTGGGAGTCCCGGATTCAGCCCCATCGGATTGAGCACAAGTGCTCTTTTTTTAATCCGATATGATTCTCATGCGATGTGACGGTTCATAACTTTATCTTACCGGTAGAGTTCACCATAGAATTCTCCAAATAACTAAAGTAGTATGAAAATACCAAGACCAAAAACACTAAAGTAGTATGAAAATAAGCAACAAGATTATACATTTACACTAGCAAATGAAGCTTACAAAGAACAGAACTCCAATAACCAATAATCATGAATTAATTATCAAGACAGTTACGAATTAACTACAATTTAATCACGATTAACCTAAAAACTAAGCAATTAAATTACCTGCATCCGTTTCTTGATGACATGAATGGATTGGGCAACAGCAGCGGCGTGACTCTTCCAATCCTTCTCGCTCTCGTCGAGAATGGTCCACCCACTAGCGATGATTCTCTCCACGGTGAGCCCGTCCGAGGTCGAGGGTTCCACGGCCGTCTGAGAACCAAAGAAACGAGACCATTGTGGATCAAAACGACGGCAAAAAACACTAGTCGTTGAAGAAGCTACGCGTTTTAATGCTTTGAGGAGAAATTCAGAGACCGTGGAATTGGAAAACTCGTGATTTCGGATTGAATTTGGAGAGTTGTGAGGAACTGAAAAATTTTGGTTTTCCGATTGAAAAGTAGGAAGATTAAGGTGTTGGGTTATGGCTGTGGGATTGAGAAACCAGAGGTTTCTTCTTGTTCGTTTTCGGAGAAGCAAAGACGCCATTTTTATTTTTGCTTTTTCAAGGTTTTGTTTCTGATGGAAGAATTGCAATGCAAAAAAATGAGATTAAACTGTCTAATTTGGGGGTTTAGCAGAAGAGACTTGTCCAGGGTTTAAAGTTTTGACGATCTAACGGGGAAGTCCGACGACGACATCAACCACGTCGTCTTTTCTAGCCAAGGACGCGTTGTTTTGGTGTGCTAATCTGGGTGTCGTCTAGCGTGTTCGCCACTCGGGGTGTTTGGTATAAACAAAGTCCCGTTCTTTTCGTTATTCGAGTTTAAAATTCAAGTTTTGTTACAGTAAAAAGTTCTCAAAAATAGTCATATTTAATTTTTTTACTATAGTAAAAAATTTTTACACAACATCACATCTCAATTCGAATTAAAAACTTAAATTAGCAAACCAAACAGGTTAAATTTATCGTGATTTAACGAATTACTCTCTAATAAGTTACTCATCTTAACTTATAAAGTTAGTATAATATATTTCATTTTAATGATGATTGTGTTGAATTAATATTAAAAAATACGTTCAGTTAAAAATTTCAATATTACAATTCAAATGTAATACAAATATTACAATGTATCAACTTTTAATCCTTTAAATCTAATAAAAAATTTGAACAAATTTAGTTAAATGAAGCATATTACAACAAATTTACAAGTTTAAGGAGCAACTTGTCAAAATTAAAAGTTTAGGGGGTAATTTGCCAAACCACGATAAGTCCGGGAAGGCAATTGTGCCAAAACTCCCATAAAGAATTTGAATTCAAAAATTTTCTCTCACAGAATTCTAATTCCAGATAATGTGTTAAATTTACTAACTTAAACGTGTGAACCAAATGGACCCGCACTGTCTTTAGATGATTCAAACTTGATAAACTCTTATGACTAGTGAGGTGGATCCATTTATAGCATTATACATTTGTTTTGGAAGAAGGTAGTAAATAGCACATCTATGAAACTAAATTAAATAAATAACATATATTATGAAACTAAATTAAGTAAATAGCAGTTTATCGCCTAAATATTTTATTTACGACTACTAAAAAGTTTTTTTTCCAAGTAAATTTTTTTTTTACGACTAATAAAATGATTTTTCCTATGTAAATAAAGAATTTTACCATGTAAATTATTTTTAACCTGTCGTGAATGAAATAGTTACACAGTAAACTGCTATTTACTTTAAATAATTTTGAAATTTGTTATTTACTTAATTTAGTTTAAAAAATATACTATTTACCACACTTTTTTTTTCAAAAACTTCTACAATAAGAGTCCTAACTCCTAAGAGAGCCTATGTAATGGGATTGTAGACTATAATGGTAAAATATAAGGTCCATATACCTGATTTTATTTTAAAGAGTATTTTCTCTAAAAAAATTTAATTTAAAAAGTTACGTTAAAGTATTTTCACTTATAAATTTGAACTCTTATTTAAATCACTGTTTTGAACTCATTTTCCAAATAGGTACTAAATAACTCAATTTATGTGTTGCACGCAAAATTTGATGGTAATTTTACCCCTCTCCCAACCTTAAGAAGGGAAAAACACAATTTAGTGCCTTTTTGAAAGATGGGTTCAAAGTAATAATTTTAATTTTGTGAGAGAAAAAATCAAAACTTCTTTAATTTTTTTTTTTTTTAGAGAAAAAACACCGTTTAAACCAAAAATAATGCGTTTGAACCCATAAAAAATAAGGGTCTCTTAAAATTGGCACGATGCTAAAAGATAAATATTCATTTCTTATGCTAAAATACAGATATTCATTTCTTTAGAACACTTTCTATTTCCTACAAGACTTCTCTTTTGGGAATTTTTTGATACGCTTAGGGTATCAGTAGGTTAGGTTTTTCTAACTGTTGAATCTGCGTATTTTTTTACTTTTACGTGATTTTATGCATACCCAACGGATAAAGAACCTAGTATGCAGGTATGTTAGCATACCGAAGAAGGTCCTCTTTCTGGTGAAGATGAAAAGGAGATTTTCTCATGAGAATATTGTGTCAATTGGAACCCAAAAAGTGAATATTGCTTACTATCCTCACCTAAACGAGCTGTCGTCTAAAGGATGTCGTCCCTTTCATAGGCTTAGGCTTAGTTTGGTAGTGTTATGAATTTTAGAAAAATTACGTATAGCTGTGCTGAGGGGAGAAGTAGTTGTTATAAGAAGCAGCTGAGTGTTTGGTAAAATGTACTTGTGCTAACTGTGCTGGTTTCAAAATCAGTGTAATAGTATTTGGTAAATGTTGACGCTGAATTGCTGTGTATGTAAAATAATAAAAATAGACAACTCGTATGAAACTTAAATATATATAATTATTTTTGGTATTTAGAAATACTTGTTGAGCTTACAAAAAAAATTAAATAATGCTATGATTCTGAGTTTTCTAACAATAAAGTTATGATAATTAATTATTTTTTTATTTCTTTATTCACAATATAGTTACAACTAAAAAGAGTATTAGTGAGTAATCAACATATATAATAAAAATGTACATTTCATGTTCAAAAATTGGTAGAGCATATCTCGAAACGACATTAAAATAGAGCAACGAGTTTAGGAAAACGACATTGATTCTAAAAATAAAAAATAATGGCAAACCACGGCAGCAGTTTTAGGAGGAAAATGTTTATTCAAAAGACAACATTAAAAAAAAAAACAACATCTCTAACAAACGACAATAAAATATAAACGACGTGAGCATTGGTAAACTACATAATTTTTTAAAAAACTACAACAATTACAAACGAAAACATTAACTTGTAAACGAGAACATATTTAAAACGACAGAAATTGAAAAAACAACTATGCTCGTGACCAGAGAACAATCTCGAAAATAAAATTTTAAAATGACAAAATTTAATTGTAAATTAATGCGATTAATTTATTCGTGCATAAATTAATATAATCTATAGAGTATCTCAAAAGTTTTGTGTAAATTTTTGTTATACACGATCCGCCTCCCCGCCACATTTCCACACCCGAATTCGATTCGGGATCCAACACTTATCAGATCTACGCTCTTGAACTTATGCAAATCATTCATCAACATAGTAAAATCAACGGAAAAAAAAAGTAAATGCCAAATTAAGCATACATGAAGAATTGTATCTCGGTTTCTGAATTTTCACATTCTAATATACTTGCTGTTGTGTGTGGTGACTATCTTCTTCATCCCAATAGCCAAGCAAGTAATGGGAGGTCGATCGCTTCTAGAAATAATGTCAATGTGGGTATCTTCCATAAGCCTTCTCCCTTTTGCTCTCTCAACGACTCCATAATTGCCCCGAGAGCCAGATAACATTTTGCCTTCCAAAACTATGCTGGAAAGAATTTTACTTGCGTTCTGGTTTATAAGACGTACCACACCATCTATTCCTCCAACAACTAAAGTCGACCTGTCATTTCGCAGATGTTGCAAGGAATATATGACATTCGGGCTTACTCGTTTGTCCCACAAAATTCTCATTGTCCAATAAGATGTAACAGAGAAAGTGGATTATGAATTCAAAAATAATGGCTTTACAAGAACTTATCAAAGCGTGTTCATAATATGACATATTATCTAGATGTCATAGTTGCAAGCTCACTCATGGCTGAAACAGATAATGGCACTAATGGCTGAAAGAGATGCAGCTATGAACTCGGAAAGCATATTGATGGCATCATTATTAATCATACATTTGATGTAGATGTTATAGTTGCAAGTTCACTCATTGACATGTATTCAAAGAACAAAAACATAGACTCTGCTCACAAGGTTTTCGATACATATACGTTCCTAAAAATTACTTAGGAACATCGATTAAAGAACAAAAACATCCTCATTCCTAAAAATTACTTCTTCCAAACATATATATACAGACACACGCACACATACATAACTCTTTTTTTTTTTCTAAACATAAGCAATAGAACACTCCCCAAGTCAAAATAGAATTCATTCTCTCTTTAATTCCAACCATTTCCTACCAAATTCATCCCCATTTACAACCAAATACAGAGCAGCAGAAAAAAACAAGTTTTCTTTCACAGTTTTTGAAACAATATTGCACGAAATATTCAAATGCTTAAATAATCATATCCTTGAACTATAATCCAAGTACGTGAATACCCATAAAATAGAGTCAGAATCCGGTCCAAACAAGGGTTTACATAGCAGAGAAAAAAAATTTAACAAAAAATCCACCAAGCCAGAGAACACAACCAAATCAACATTCAAAAAAAAGCTTAATGGAGTACTTACAGAGGCTATTGATATAATGAGCTCTAACCAATACCGGTCTCATCCAACGACGAAATCTAGAAACCCTAACGAGAAAAAACCCACCAACACTGAGAGAACCGAGAGAGAGGAGAGACTCGGCCTGGCCGACAATCGCAGGAGAAACTTAGCCAGAAATAGAGAGAGGGAATCCGAGAGAACAGAGAGAGAGAAGAAAGAGAAACGGAAGGAGAGAGCTTTGACTGAGAGAGAGAGAAGAAAGAGAAACGGAAAGAGAGAGCTTTGGCTGAGAGAGAGAGCGTGATAGGAGGCTCCAGTTCGAGAGAGGAGAGGTGGCGAAGGAGTAGAAAAAAATGAGGCTCATGGAATTTTTTTGATTCAGCAGGGTTATTTTAAGAATAATGAAAAATTCATTAATGAACTTAATGTAGACTGCCGCTAGGGCTGTTCATAAATCCGCAAAACTCGCATGCCCAACCCACCCCACCCCAACTCAACCTGAAAAATGCAATTTCTAGTATTAAATTTTTTTTTCGGCCCATTCAATATCTGACCCGAAGTTTTCAAGCAGGGTGTGGGTTGGGCCTATAATGGCCCGCACACCCCAACCCAACCCACACTCTAACTTGCCTCCTCTAATATCTCACCCTAGGCAGGCAACTCATTTCTACTCTCTAGTTTCTTCATGTTTGAATTAAACCTCTATGTTTGCTTTATGTTAAGACTAATTTACGAGTGTAGGCTAATTTATATTTGCTTTATGTTTGATGTTGGATGGACTACTTTGCTTCATGTTTGATGTTGGATTGAACTTTGAATTTCTATCTATTTGAATGTTGGAGTTATTATTTCTATTTGATGATGAACTTTGAATGTTGGATTGAACTTT